CCCACCCGACATGGTGGGTGTTCCGAGGTTCACCACAGGTGGATGTGCGATGACGTGGTCAGATTGCACGTTTCTTGTTGAGCCTAGGCGGTAGGTGTGATTGTGGATGCGACGCAAGAAAGGAACGCAGTCTAGGGTCCCAAGAGACAGTGACGCCGCGCAATCGCAGTTGATGCAACGATGAAGAATGGTGTGTGTGTGTGTGTATGTGTGTGTGTGTATATGGAAGGTGGATGCGCTGGGGTCGTCGTGAGGCTGGAGGTAGTAGGGAGGAGAAGGGTTACAGGCGAAGGCTGGACCAGACGGCGCCAGGGTCATCGGGGGGGGGGGGCCTTTGGGCCTTTGGGGGGCTTCGGCCTTTGGGAACTTGGTGTCTAGGCCTGGGACCTGGGACTTTTGGTGTCGGGGCCCTGATACCTTGCTGGCACGAAAAGTCCGAAGAGGCGCCACAGAAAGGCGGTACGTACTGGCCGTGTCGATCCACCAGCCTCACGTCACATAATAGCGGGTCCGGGCGTAGGTCGAATGGAAACCTCCTGGGGCGCTCTTGACGACCCATCACCAGATGCGAGCTACCTCACCTAAGGTAGCCCAAGGTAGCTATCCTCATCCGACCTGACAGACTCAATGGCTGCCAAAACGACTGTGGGCGAGGGTTCCGTACGTCATGTTTCCGTCTTTCGTCCCACCTCCATCGTGAGCTGACCATACACAAGAAGCCCGACCCCATTCAGAAGCTCAATGCCGATGCCGAAAGCTTGCGGCGCGAAGCAGAATCCTCCCTCGAGTATGCGGCCAAACTCGAGGAGGAGAATCAGCGGCGCCAGGCCCAGATTGTAGGTCAATTGTATCCTTTGCCGATCGAACCATCTGACAGCCGAAGCTCCTCGAGCAGCAGTCGACGCCCATGACCGTCCACAACCTCACCGTCCACGGCGCACCCAACATGCGCCGCGCCTTCCTCGATCCCATCCTCTCCCCCATCGTCGCGCCCTCAGCCAACACTGCCACGACGCTCGGCGACGTCTCCTACCGTCTGCAGACGGCATCCGCCAAGCTTGACCGTCTCGGCATCTTCCAGCCCGCCCCCAAGATCTTCCTCAACTCAGCCGACCAGACCAATCCCTCGTCCACACCGACAGACGTGGACATCGATATCCTGCTCGCCGAGCTTCCCCGCTACAAATTCAATGCCGGCACCGATGTCGGCAACTCGGAAGGTTCAGCCTTCACGTCGCTCTTGTGGCGCAACATATTCGGCGGCGCCGAGCAGCTCTCCCTCAACGCGAGCACCGGCACGCGAACACGCTCCGCCTACACAGCCGAGCTATCCGCCCCCGTGGCCTCAGACCCCGATCGCCGCATCGCCCTCGAGATTCTCTCCTCCGCCACCGACAAGCCTTGGGCCTCGCACGAGGAGGTCCTCCGCGGCGGCTCCCTCCGCTACCAGTGGCTTTCGCCGGACCGCGACATGCACTCGATCGAGTACACGGCCCTTTGGCGACAGCTCACGTCGCTGGGCCCCGGCGCGAGCCCGACCGTCCGTGCCGACGCCGGCGACTCGCTCAAGTCGTCCCTCCGCCACATCTTCCGCCGCGACACGCGCGACAACCCACAACTGCCCCAGCGCGGCTACCACATCCGCACGACGACCGAACTCGCCGGCGTCGGCCCTCTCGCCGGCGACGTCGCCTTCTCCAAATCCGAGCTCGAGTTCGGCGGCGCCGTGCCCCTGAGCGAG